TATATAGTTACTTGTCCGGTAATTTTGAATCCCCATAATGAAAGTTTTAATTAACTGAATTCTTCCAGCATATGAAAGCTCCTTCCTGTTTTGCCATCCTTAAAATTGCTCTAAAATTTTGCTAATCAGTGTTGAACAATCAAGATTGGAAAGCCTCTTAGAGATCAAAGGCATCCCCAAGTATCTAATTGGCAGAGAACCTTCAGAATAATTCAGGAGAGAGCATATCTGATTCTTAACATTATCCTCAACACCTCCCAGACAAACAACGCATTTGTTAAAATTTGCCTCTAATCCAGATACTCTGCTGAAGTCTTGAAGACAACTATTTAGTTTACTAACTGACTGGATATCAGCTTTACTGAACAATAGCAAATCATCCGCAAAGATCAAGTGAGTTATCCCCATGCCAGAACATCTAGGGTGGTATTTGAACAGGTTATCAGTTTTAAGTTTCTTCATTTGCCTGGACAAGTACTCCATCCCAATAACAAATAGGTATGGTGATAAAGGATCACTCTGTCTTAATCCCCTTGCTCCCTTAAAATATCCGTGTAAAGATCCATTAAGAGATAGTGAAAACTTTGTAGTAGTTATACAAGTCATAATCCATCCAGTCATTTTTTCTAGAAATCCCAATCCTGTCAACATGGCTTTAATAAACTCCCAGCTTATTGTATCAAACGATTTTCTCAAATCTATGTTGAGAGTAGCTCTCGGGGATATATGTTTTCTACCATAATGCTTAACTAACTCATGAGCAAATAGGATATTATTTGAGATAATCCTTCCTTTGACAAAGGCACTCTGTGCATCATTCACTAAGTACCCAATAACTTTCTGGATTCTAGCCGTTATTATTTTCGAGATCACTTTGTAGACACAATTACAGCAGGAAATTGGTCTAAAATCAGATGGTGAGCTTGGATTCAGAACTTTAGGAATTAAAGTAATGGTAGTTGTATTAAGAGAGTCAAGTAGCTTACCAGAGTTAAAAAACTCCTGAACAGCCTTGATCATGTCTGCACTAATAATATTCCAAGCACTTTTGAAGAATGATGCACTATAGCCATCAGGACCAGGGGCCTTTTCATCAAAAATTGTAAAAACAGCATGCTTGATTTCTTCACTGGTAATAGGAGACTCCAGCTCATTTCTGTGTATATCCGTAAGAATGGGGCCATCAGAGATAACTGTAGGATCTAGTTCAAGTGTATTCACTGTTTTCCCAAGCATATTCCTGTAATATTCAATAAGCTCAGTAGCAATTTCAGGCAGATCTGTAAGCCTTCTTCCATTCTTTGAATAGAGAGTTAATACTCTATTTTGATGTCTTTTAGCTTTCACGACGGAATGAAAATATTGTGAGCATCTGTCCTCATGCATAGCTCAACTAATATTTGCTTTTTGTCTATGAAATGATTCTCCACATTGTAGCAGTCTGTTGTATTTTTGTATATATTTTTTCTCCTAAGTAATTAGATCCTGATTTAGAAGGTCCATACTCATCTGATTTTGAACTCCAAGCAATTCCTCTTTAGCTCTTGTAACTTGCTCTCCTATGTTCATAAAATGTTTTTTATTCAAATCCTTGAGGACAGGTTTCAGTTTCTTGAGTTTGGAATAAAGTTTGTACATGTTATACAATCTCATCTCTTGTCCCCAGACAGAATTCACAAGTGCAAGGAAATCAGGATGTTTTGTCCACATTTTATAGAATTTAAAGGTTTTTTCCTTGAAAATCCTCCTCCCCAACAGATACAAGGGCTGGAGAGTGATCTGAGCAGATTGGCATTAAAAATTCCACCTGGATTGATGTATAATGATGCAACCATTTGTCATTAATCAGAATTATGTCTATTCTGCTCCAAACTCTAGTACTAGCATCTTGCTTATTATTCCAAGTGTAGAAACATCCAATAGATTTGATATGAAGTAGTTGGCTTGATGATATAAAATTTTGGAAGTCTTCTGTGTCAGCATCTGAGATAGGAGCTCCTCCCATTTTTCCTTCAGCACTTATGATTGCATTGAAATCTCCACCAACCAATCAAGGGCAATTAACATTCTGCTTGACGTTCAAAAGATCCTGCCATAGTTTTTTCCTATTCTCCCTTCAATTTGAAGCATAAATCACAGACATTAGGCATTATACTTTTCCATTTTTCAATTGAACAGAGTAAGTCAAGCATTGATCAGTTGAGTTTACACTTTGAACTGTCAGTAGATCCAGAGTATCCAGATCCTAACATTACAAGCTTCTTGAACATTTGGAATCCAATTCCAGTCTCTAGCAAATTTCCTGGCTATATGCTTCATCTTTCCTTCATTTAGTTTTGTTTCTAGAAGAGCAATAAAGGGAATATTGTATTGATATATGAATTGCTTAACAATTAAATGCTTAGAGGATTTATTAAATTCTCTAATATTCCAAATAGCTAAATGCATTTATTGATTACTTAATGCATGAAACTGTAAATGCTGTAAAATAGAGTTGGTAAAGATTCTCTAAAATCAAACAAAAGATCATTCATTTAATTAAATACCCACAAGAATTCCAATACTCCACAACTAGATCTAAATCATAAATTCAAACAGCTAGATCAACCTTAAGAATAACCATAATACACAACAAATTGTCAGATATAGTGGAAATGAAACAAATATGAAAACTCTATCTAAAACCTTTTGATATAGTATACGTACAATCAATTAACATCATCCAAAATCAACCTCAAGATTATTCATTTAACTAAATACCTCAAGAATCCCAAGAATCCAAAAAGATCTAAATCATAAATTCAAACAAATAGATCCCTCAAGAATCCCAAGAATCCAAAAAGATCTAAATCATAAATTCAAACAAATAGATCAACCTTAAGAATCAACTTTAGTAAACACATAAATAAATCATAAATTCAAACAAATAGATCAACCTTAAGAATCAACTTTAGTAAACACATAAAATTGTCAGCTATCTATCATATGCCGTTCATCCTTGTTGAATACCTAGATCATCACCACAAAATAAATACCTAGCTAACCAAATAAATATATATAATATATTGTTCATCCTTCTATTATCCAACTCAAGAAGAAACTGCATCACGGACCTCCATAATTAAATTACTACATCAATACACCTTCAGCAGATCTAAATCAGGCCAAGAAGATATTTCAACTAAAAAATCAACAAATTTGCACAAAATCATCACTTAAAACCTTAAATCTAACAATATTCTATTAGATCTACAACAAATACAACGAAATATCTCAGATCTGTTTAAACCAAGCAACACAAATCCTAAATTACCTCAAAATTATTTTCCTCTTTCACCGAAATTTCAGCTCAGAAATTCAAATAGATCGAGAATAGACGAAAAATTAAAGATATAATAGAGAGATTAGGGCTCACACCAGAAATTGGAAGGAGAATCGCAAGGAGATGGATTCATTCTCTCCGAGGGTTTGGAAATGAACTGTTGAGACTACTTTGTACTAGCGGGTGAAGTGGGATGGCGGGTGGCGGCGACTGCAAAGTGAGGTTGGACTTTGTAGATTACGGGTTACAGGTCAGGTAATGGGTATGGGTTACGGGTTTAAAACTTAATGTTAAGCTAGCGGTCGGTTTAGTTGAAATTTTTTCAACTTGACCCAAACCGACTTATAAACAAAACCGACTCGAACCGTTAATTTTCGATCAATTCGGTCGGTTTTTTCAATTTGGACCGAACCATGGACAGCCCTAGTGTTGTACATTGTAATTCGTCAAAGTTAATATAAAAAATCATTTACAGCTTTCCTTGTTGCTGAATTTGTGATCATATTTATCCTTCCATCTACCTTTTGTGACTAGTGGTACACATTCAACTAAGAGAAGTAAAATATGAGGGAAAATGAAATAAAACAGACACCGCCTTCTCACTGTATCCATAAATTATATACTATGGAGATTAAAATAAATCTCAATAATAAATTCATTGAATAGTGTTTATATATCAGAAAGAATAAATAAATAAATAGCAAGTGGGGTCACGATAAAGCCCGAAGTCGTAGTGTTGTCCTTCTCCACTCTCTTTCTCATTCTCGAATCTTTTCCCCTTCTTGATTTACTGCTACTCTCTTCTTCATTTATTTGTGTGTTTCCTTTCTCCCTCTCGTATTCGTATTCATTAAAATATTTTAATTTATTTGTTTATTCATTTACTTTCAAATTGCAAATCTCTCCGCCATCAAGTTCCTCCTCAATCTTGATTATTTGGTAAAAGTTCTCATAATTATAAGCTATGACGGCCTACGTTGCTGCTTCTTTAATTTCGCATTCAATGAAATCGGCGGCGACGCACAATAGCAAGCTACATAGCTACAGAAACAGCGGCGGCAGGATGATGATGACGACGAGGTTGACGATGATGCCTTCATCATCGTCGTCTTTGTCAGCAGCAGCAGCAAGAGATAATGCCAGCACGATTTCCAATCTCTCCTTCGCTCAATCCTCCTCATTTGAAGAGGTACTTCTCTTTTATCTAATATAATTTTGGTTTTAGTTCGGTTAGTTGTAGTTTTGTACCGTAAAGTTTACAACTTTAATACCCCCAACGTTTTTAATTAACGCTTTGATGCTCAAAGTACGCTCTAAGTTTGTTTTCCGCATATGTGATACCTTAAAGTTTATACATTTTTAACTTCGGTGCCCCAAAGTTTACGCATTTTTCAACTACTAGCAAACAAAAAGAAAATCTTATGACTTTTTAAAAAATTGTGAAACGATTTCATTGAAAGGACTTCACCTCAATAATCATAATAGTTAGTTATCAACAAATATATGTACAAGGAAGGATTTCATTGAAAGGACTTCACCTCAATAATCATAATAGTTAGTTATCAACAAATATATGTACAAGGAATGAAAGTTTTGTTCAAAGCAAAAATAGTTAGTTATCAACAAATATATGTACAAGGAATGAAAGTTTTGTTCAAAGCAAATTGCAGATGCATACCTCTAATTCACACGGTGCTAGGCCTAAAGTGATGCTAAGCTTCTAGGCCCTTCATCCGGGCAATCCAATACCTCATTGAGTCCCATCTCTTTTTCCCCTTGAAAATTTTTAAGTACCTGATTCATAGAATAGACAATATAGTAGATAAAAATGATATAAATACATGAATCTTTTTGTTTAGTCAATACATCTTCGAACTTGGCTCGTTTAAGGTTTAAGTCTTGCTTTTCTTAAGATGCAAGAGACAATCCCAAAACCATTTGGAATCGATTCTCACTATACATCATGAAAATTGGGATCCAAGAAGTCTTTTAAACCCGCTCTTTCTAGAACTTGGCGTGGCCTAAGTTACAAAGGATATATAAACTATCGCTAGAAAGCTAAATGTTGTTGGTAATTTGATGAATATACCAAAACACTTAAGAATCACACATCAATTAATTTATCCTTAATCTCAACTTATTTTATTTTGCTATATGAATGATCCTTTTACAACATTTTTAGTTACCCACATAACTAAACTTTCTTGGCCTTCAAGGTTTTCATCATCGGTTTTATGCTCATTAATAGTTCAAGCAAAACAGCTTTGTGGGTATACACATCTATCTTATATTACCTACCTTTCCATACATAATATACTAAAAGTATTGCCCGAAACCTTAAATCATACTTTTAAGTTATAATCCTCCACAGGTTTCTACTAAGTGCTTAGGCTTAAATCTCATCTCAGACATTATTCTTACTTGTCTTCCTATTGCATTTTAGCTCAAATCATCAGCATATATGCAGTTTTAATCAAGTTTTTTCATATGTAGTGTGTATAGTATCCAGATTGTAGGTTTATTCTGGAATTTGTTGTTTCAGTCAAGTTTTCTGATGTATGATATGTATAACATTTAGATTGTAGGTTTATTTCCCCGATATTGTTGCTAATTGTTGTGTAGTCTGCCGCCTAAGACATTGAAGCCATTTACAAAGTTATCATGCCTGTAACATTCTCATATTGCTAATTCATTTTCCAATTTTCTCATATATTAGGAAGCCACGTCTGATGCACGAAAGGAAGCCAATCATAGGATCTCTTTCTATCCTTGGATACATTGAAGAAACATGCAAAGGGTTCCCTCTACTAACATAAGGATCCATATAAAGACAGCCAATAGCGATTGTTTTTGAAAGTCACTCACAGGATGGTGTGTATAGACTTATAACTTATTTTAGTTTCTTCCTAATTCTTTGGTATTTAGTACATTTTATGTCATTAATTTATTTGAAATTGCACTGGTATAACTTCATTTTTTTGCAAACCAATGATTACTGCTTCTGCAATGAAGTGAAAATGTTTTACATTTTCGCTCTTTACTCTAAATTGTTTTTTAAACCCACTAATCTTGAAGCTCCTCTTGTTAAACTAAAGCAACTTAAATCCCCCATGTTAAAACTTAAAAATACCCAAAGAAACAACCCAACAAAAATGTAATGGGAAAATGTACATAGATCAAAATTATCACACAAAAGATGAATCAATAAACGGCAATTGGTAATCTCGGAGAGCATCTTCATACCAAATTATCACATTTTTATAACCGAATATTTCAAACAGGAAAAAAGATAAATCTAACAAAGGCCAAAGAAACTCACTAATATCCATCTCTGAGCCCACCAAACCTCTCCTGCCCTGCAGTATCCCAGCAATAAAACCTAATCTTTCCACAATTAGTATGGAAATCCAGAGGATGAACCTCAACACCAATAGTCGCTGCACACAAAAAATCAGCAGATTACAAAAATATCCCAAAAAACAAACCCTATATCAACAAAAAATAGAAAGATCCATACGCTCATATTTCTTCTCAAATTCTCCAGTAAGATGCCTCTTTTTGAAAGTAGTCTTCCCTAAAACAGATCGAACCGTATCAAACCCTAGATCTCCATTTAGAACCGAAAAAACCCAAAACAAATAAAAATCATCGTCTTAGATCCATCGATCGATCGACCACCTATGCCTCCGGCTCCTACGATGACCAGCTTTAAGCTAGGGTAATCCACTCTGCAGGTTCGGGAGAGCCTGCAAGGGATCGAGCAACAAAAACCCTAACCCTAAGGATCGATCGAAATGAGAAATAAAGAATTCGAGAAATTAAAAAAATACCTTATTATTTCTTTGAACGCGGGCGATGGTTTTGATCGAGCGAGGAATTGAGAAAAATTTGACGGGGGTTTACATAGAGCGTCCCAACTTTGATCCCACGCGAGAAGGGCTGGCTCTCGATGCGGCGGTTCTCGATGTACTCGAGGATCTGGATCTCGCCGGCGTCGTCAAATATGGCGTGGCGGCGGATGACGAAGGGGTTATCGGCAGTGCACATGATCTCAGCGAAGGCCATACTGCTCCCATCCTACTGCAATGGAAGAGGGGGAGGGCCAACAAAAAAAAGGGCTAAGGTTTACTTTCCCAAAATACCCTGAAGTCCAAGAAGTAGAGAGAAAATATCCGAAGGACGGAATTGTGTTGAATAGTATTTGATGAAATTTGGCCTGAACTCCATAAAATATCCTTGGTCCAAAACAAATTTTAGATGTTAAAAATGAAGATAAATTGAAAAGTGAATGGCAAATCCGGAAGAAAAAGAAAAAATCATCTAGCTTTTATACAATGTAAATTATAGGATGTCTAAGTGTCAAAGACAGAAGTTCGGGTTATCAAGGCTAGAAGGGGTGTAAAGATCGAGTATCAAGATGTCGAGAAAAAATTTGAAAAAAAATTTGAAGTATTAACATTATAAGAGGTGCAAACTTTTGGGTATGAAATGGTGGGAAAAATCTTCGTTGTATCAAAGTGGTGGAGAAAAAACTTATGGGTATTTAAGTTTAAAATGATGTAATTCTTGAGTATCAAAGTGCAAATAATCCTAATTCTTACATTATACTATTATTGCTGCTATATTGTCACTATTATGACTTTCCCAATTTGTGTGTGGAGTGGAATTACAGAATCCCATGACTTAATTGTATGGGATTAAATTGAATTGAATTTGTATTGTTATTTGTGTATAGTTGATCGAGACGCTAATACATAGAATATTGTGAGTGGCTTCGCCGGATTGTTAGGTCTCTTGTGCCAGTGCCACCCCTTCGGCCAAGCTGCTCGCTCGGCCGCTCACCAAAAGAGCCGCTGCAGCATTCAGCACCTGCATATCCCGCAATCAAACTAAAGCATTAGCTGACGCTAACTCACGTTCGAAAGAAATCAAGGCAAGTTCTTATCACATTAACAGTTTCTAATTACTAGTTGTTTTCTGGCATCTCTCAGATTTACGAGGTAGTCATCTTAGTTCCCTAAAAAAGCTACTGCTTACTCAGATACCCCATATGTTTTCATTTAGATAGTTGTTTCTGGCCTCTCAGATTTATGAGACAGTCATCTTAGTTCCCTAGATAAGCTACTGCTTACTCAGATAACCCCACACGTTTTCATTTTGATATCAAGTTTTTTTTGTCAATGAAGAATTTATTTTCGTTCACTAATCTGTAAAGTTTTGTACATCAATCTTCTCATCAATATGAGATAACAAAAGAAAACAAACAACAGCAGCAAAACTAGGATGTTAACTTCCAGAGAAATTTGGAAGTTAAACACCTGACATCTACCTCACTATTTAAATAATGTCATAATGTCGACTTCGATTTCTATAACTAGCTGATCAGATCTTTTTCATATCTGTTTGAAAATTTTGGAATTTCGCTCACACTCAATCTTGTATATATATAAAGTAAGAGCCATTCTTTTGATTCCCTTCCTGAATCCCCTACCCCTCAGTCTGGTACAGTACCAGTTCAAAAGGAGATTCAAATCACAAGATCTCCATCTAAACTGAAGCCAATCCATTATACGATTCCAAACATCTCTTGAATATGAACATTAAAAAAACAGATGATTTCTTGTCTCCATTTCTGCTCCAGAGCATAAACAACATCTATTAACATTCACAATACGTCTCTGAAGCAATCTGTCTTGAGTAAGCAGTTTATCTTGGACTGCTAACCAACTTATCAAAGAGTGTTTAGGATAACTCAACCCCTCCCAAATTGTATCATGCCATGGTACCTTACTAAGCACAGGGGGTAGTGCAAGATATAGGGTAGAAAGCTGGATTTTTGAGTTTTTATAACAGGAGGAAATTATTTGTTTCAGGTTATCAGCTCCACCACAACACATTGTTTCTTTATATCTAGCTTTAATCAACTGTTTCCATGTCCATGAATCGCTTGATCTAGCTTGCACTTGCCATATATCTCTGTTTTTTAAGTAATTTTCATGTATCCACTTGATCCATAATAGCTCCTTGTTGATATGGATGTACTAGATACCTCTAAGAGCAGAGGCTAAATTCCAGATTGGAGCTGAAAAGATACCTAAGCCACCTTGCTTTTTCCCTAAACAAACTTTACCCCATGAAACCAATGGAATTCTGATATTTTGCTCTGATTTCCCCCATAAAAAGTTTCTGCTTAATTCATCAATTTTCTGCAAAACTTTAACAGGTAGTATATAACTAGTTGTCCAATAAATTTGAACACCTAGTATAACACTTTTAATAACCTCCATTCTCCCAGCATATGATAAAATTCTGCATTTCATCCATTTTTGAAACTGGTTTGAAACTTTGCTAATGAGAGGGAGGCAATCCATATAAGACAATCTTTTATATAGAAGAGGAACACCAAGATACTTTAGAGGCCATGTACCTTCTTTGAAACCAAGGTAATTGCTTATAGACTCTTTAACAGAATCACTAACACCTCCATAGTAAATAGTGATCTTGTCAGGATTTGCTTCAAGCCCTATGGCCTCACTGAATTCTCTAAAGCAGGTCATCAGCAAATAAAAGAAGGTCATCAACAAAAATTAGATGAGTAATCTTTAGTTTGCCACATCTTGGATGAAATTTGAAATTTCTGTCATTTTTCAACATATCCAGTCTTCTTGATAAAAATTCCATACCCAAAATAAAAAGATAGGGTGAGAGAGGATCGCCCTGCCTTAGTCCTTTTTTCCCTTTAAAATATCCATGGAGTGATCCATTTAGTGAAATAGAGAATTTCGGAGATGTTATACAAGCCATAATCCACTTAATCATCACTCCCGGGAATCCAAGGCCTTTGAGCATATCTTCTAAGAATTTCCAGCTTAATGTATCAAAAGCTTTCCTCATATCTATATTGAGCATGTCTCTTCTGGTGAAATATGTTTCCTACCATAGTTTTTAATTAGCTCATGGGCAAGCAATATATTGCTTGATATCTGCCTCCCCCTCACAAATACACTTTGTGCCTCATTAACTAAGTGACCCATAACATTTTTTATTCTGTTAGCTAGAACTTTCGAGATGAATTTATATAGGCAGTTACAACAAGAAATTGGCCTGAAATCAGATGGAGTTTTGGGGCATTGGACCTTTGAAATTAGTGTTAAGGAGGTTGAATTTACCATACCCAACATTTTTCCTGTCTTGAAGAATTCCTGAATAGCTTGAGTTACTTCATCTCCAATAACATCCCATGCTGATTTATAGAAAGCAACATTGTAACCATCAGGCCCAGGAGCCTTAATTTCAGGCATGGAGAAGATTGCAGCTTTGATTTCCTCTTTTAAAATTGGTTTAGATAGATCCCTGACCTCTATATCAGTCAGACATGGCCCATTTTTTATAATATTGCTATCAGGGACTGATGTAACAGCAGCTGTTCCCATTAGATTCATATAAAAGGATATTAATTCATTTTTGACCCCCTCACCATCAGTAATCCTTTCACCCAATCTGTTATAGATCACTGATACTCTATTTTGATGCCTCTTGTGCTTAATAACTGAGTGGAAGTAATTGGTGCATCTATCACCCTTTAATACTCCACTCAAATTTTGCTTTTTGTTGAAGGAAAGACATCTCACAATTCAATAACTTGTTATATGAATCAATGCAATCTTTTTCTTGATTTATGATCATGGGGTTAAGAGGATCACCCTGGAGATTCCTTTGAACAGCTTCCAGATTAAATTTTGCCCTTTGCACCTGTTCACTAATGTTATGAAAATGTCTTTTGTTGATTTCCTTCAGTGCACCTTTCAATTTCTTGAGTTTTGTACACACTGAGAACATTTTATATCCTTCAGTAGCAACTTGCCAAATTGATGATATTGTGGGCAGATAGCTTTCATGTTTGATCCACATGTTAAAAAATTTGAAAGGTTTTTTACCTTGTACACAATCATCCATGATAGAGACCAGGCCTGGGGAATGATCAGAAAATTTTGGCAGCAAATATTCTACATAGCCAGAATCATATTTATTGATCCAAGAGTCATTCACCAATGCTTAACCTGCTCCATACCCTTGATTCAGCATCTTGTTTATTGTTCCAAGTAAAGAAGCAGCCAGTTGTTTTCAGATGAACAATATGACAGTCATAATGAAATCACATAAATCTTTGGTGTCTGTATCTGAAAGAGTAACACCCCCAAGCTTTTCCTCATTGCAAATCATAGTGTTGAAATCACAGATATCTAGTTTAATTTGACTAAAACTTATATCTTATGGTAATATGTTAAAAAAATAGATCCATGTTAAGAAAACGCAAATTCGTAAAATTAAGCCACTCAACTTTCTGACTTTCTTCTTTCTCAACTTTCTGAGCGACTCTGGGATTTTGACAATGTTAGTCAAGTGTACAAGCATTATCAGAAGTCTCACACTTGGACGATAACCTTCCTTGCAACAAGGATGTGTTGAACCATCTAAAACTATCTACTTTAGTAATTCACACCTTTTTGTTTGTTTTACTTTCGATGACTTATCAAGAAAAATTTGCAGACCACCCAAGTGTAATGCACACACTTTATCACATAATGATGGGACTTGCCTATGAGCTTAGACCCTGCGTATACATAAATTACACATACTGATTCAATTTAATTTTATTATGTTTTGTTTGTGAGCGTATATATGCACACTGTTTGTACGAATGTGGTCGGGTGAGACCATTTTCTACAGTATCAGGCAGGTAGAACCTACTAAATTTTATCTTCCCTAGTTGGCACCAGAAAGGTAAAAGTTTTTTGTATTCCTAGAGAGGAAAGACTAAGAAGAGCAGACATGAAGAACAGGAAAACTTACAATAGCATCTGCAATAGATCCTTTTCACCAGAAAGTACGTTCCTAAGAACTCCGGCATTGAATTCTAGACCTCATCCTTTTAGGCTTGGAAGGGTGCAGCGAGGAATACCAAAGTGCACTGTATCAACAAACACGCAGTTAGTCTGAAAACAACTCAATCTCGACATTCCACAAGAAATCTGAATAACGACGTTCATCTACATGATAGATCTTGTTGCTCAACTGTCCAATTGAAGGAAATCGCACCTGGAGAAGAACAGAAGACCTCGTCGGCGACGGCGACGGCAGTGACGATTGCTGGTGGAGGCGATGCTCGATGATCAGAGCTCAGGCGAAGAGAAGCTTGGGCGAGGCATGCATCGGAGCTAGCCTGCGGAGGCGTTCGTGGACAGGCAAGGGCTTGAAGGCGAGGTCGAAATCGCCTGATGGGGTCACCTGCGGGCGTGTAAGGCGAGGGCTGAACTCGCCTGTGGAGTTGATCGCTTGCTGGAGAGGTGAGGGCGAGTTTCGCCTGCAGTGGGGATCGAGATCCGCCTACAGTGGGGATCGAGATCCGCCTATGCCTTGATCTCGCCTGCGTGAGTGTGTCCTAGGGTCCCTATAAAAGGGAAACCATGTTCACGGAGCTGTTGAGCCCATCTTCAGCGGATTTAACAAAAGAAGATTTCTTCTGTGATGGCGGCGCTTTAACTCCAGCGGAAATTCTCAGATTAATTTGAGAATCAATTTTTCAGTCAAGAAAAATTGCTCAATTCCTGTAGCATTTACTACAGTGAAGAAAGTTGGTGTTGTGAGAGCTCTATTTTGAGATTCTCACTTTTATAAGCTTTGTAATTTCTTGTGATTAAATAAAAAATTAATTGTATGGCTCCTGTGGACGTAGACAAGTTTGTCGAACCACGTATATCTGTTGTCTCGTCTCTTTTACTTATAGTTTTATTTAGGTATTCGTCATTGCCTGTATTTGGATAGTTTGAGTTTGTCTTAAACTCGAGTAGGATTGTTCTCTAAGAATTAATTAGCTTCCGCGGCGTTGTGGGTGTCTGGCGCTCCCAACACCAATTTCATTTAACTAGAAATACCATCAGAAATATCTACAACATAAATAGTGCAAAATTTTGCATCTTAATATATATACTACTAAAATTGTATGAGTGAAATGATTCTTACATGAATCAAAATGGAACTTGTCAATCTTTGTTAGTGTCACATCAAGGAGATATCCGGGTTCTGCAATAATTATAGAGCCAACTAAGAGCTTATGAGATAAAATCTTATTATAAATAACCAATAAAAATCTGTAAGAAAAAATATAGACTAGACAAAAAGAAACAACTGAGAAGATTGCTCACCGAAAGATACGCATAAATGATGAGATCTTACCAAGTGGACTTATTTCAACTAAACCCTTTGAATGAACTACCGATGCTCTTTCCATCCCAAATCGTTGCAATGCTTTAGCCATCTTCATTACCTAGCAAAACAATAATCTGGGATGCTCTTTCCATCCCAAATCGTTGCAATGCTTTAGCCATCTTCATTACCTAGCAAAACAATAATCTGGCAATTTTAAAGGCCTTATATTGCCTCCATCTTCATTACCTAGCAAAACAATAATCTGGCAATTTTAAAGGCCTTATATTGCCTTCAACAAAACCGAGAAGTCCTTGAGCAAACATTCACAAATAAAAACTACTTCAAAATGGAAGGGAAAATAGAAGTCACAACTGTATGAAGGACAAATATGGTAACATGATATTTGGCTCCCATCCTACAAACACCTTGTAGTGAAATCCAAGTATCCAACCTCCCAAAAAGCATCCAAATTTAGCATATAGTCAAGAAGAAGTAAAACTGTCAAAGATAAGGTTTAACGAAGCAAAATCCACTTTCCAAATTTCGAATGGCTCTGTTTCATGTAGTGTATTGTGTTGCCAACTAGCTTCTTTATCTCATTCATTCAGTTAATTGCATTTTAAGGGGATCCCTAGTTTCAGATGTTGTTTACACATCTGCATGACGAAACTCATCAATACACTAGATGGCACTAACACCACTAAGATATGATGCTAGCAAAAAACACTCGCTCAAACATAATTAAAAAAATAGCGATGTTGATGTCATATAACTCATATCAGATGAATAAAAACAAGAATGCAAGTAATAGAAATTGTCAGCAAATAAGAAACTCACTATATCTTCATTGTAAACACCAACATCATAGGGTACTCTTGCTGGATTCAACATAGGACCTTGAACGTTGAAGACCGTCTTCACTTTGAGCTTCTTCCTCACCGGACTAACAATTTTCATTGCTGGATGATATATTGAGACATCATGAAACCTATCCTTACTTCCTCCACACATCTTCTCACATCCTTATCATTTATAATTAAAAAAACAGAGAGAGGATGAATAACAATTATTGTTATCTACATATAGATCTTGAAAATCCAAGATAATTATAGAAAAAGGAAAGAAATAAGTCATAAATGCTAAAGAGATCAGTAAATTCATCACCTATAGGAGCCCATGATGTCAATGGAATATCGAACTGGATATTCTCCCAAAAGATGACCAAATCACTATGGATCATTAAAAAAGATAAATTAATCTAGAAGCCTATAATCTATGAAATGATATCATGCTCACCACATGTCCTTTGGATTTTCCTACTGCCAATTGTGATGTGCCTTTACAGAAAAAAGGCAACATGAACCTTTCTTTTGAATGATCAAGATCGCAGAAGTTTGGATGCCTATCAATGACTATGATAGTTCTTTCGGACAACAAAAAAAGTTGCCTATCAATAACTATTTTCCTTGATAGAATGGATATGGAAAAAATATAAACTGACCCAAGAAATTTTCCGGAACAAAAATTTTAAGGTTTTGAATAAGAGGTATCTACATTCAACACAATGAGGACAGTGTCGGCACACCTTTCACTTTGTATTTTATTTTGTAAAGGTTGACATTACCTAAAATACATGTGGAATTGGAACATAAGCTCACTGCACTTTTCATCCTTATTATGCATGAGTATTAGCTTTTTTTATCAACTGAACTATTGTGTTGATATTGACGAGACATTTTTTCTATGGTATATTTCCCATAAGGCCTTGCTGATTAATTTCCATCGTTGAGTTACTAGTTATTAAAATATAGAACTATTATCATTCATATCTGAGTGCTGGAACTTATTATTCATCACTGTAAACTTTCATTAACATTTAAAATTAAAACATGAACGAAAATTAGAGGATAAAATCAATTTTTACCAATAAAGTCTATCCATGGGAGCGAAGCAGAATGACTGTTGTTGTCAATGAATTTGAGACCGTTACACAAAAAAGTAGGAAAAAGACCATGACTTGTAGACACAGATACAAATATCATACTATGAGGCACTACTATAGACTTAAGTGTATAATAAACAACCTGTCTGGATAGCTACATATGCATACTTCTTCTAAATATATTGTATATATGACTCATAAAAATATGTATCAAGCTAATATTCATTTAAAAAAGAACCTCATTTTAGTAAAGTGAAATACAAAGTAGTTTACTTTTGTCACAAGACCCAACATGCACATATTTCTAAGTTTTATCAGTTACCATATATATAAGCACAAATGGGTACGTGTGTGATGTTTGGGTGCATCAAACAAGTTGAATTTTGGGGGAATCCTATTCCCAGGAAAAAGACTTGAAGTTCATAGAATAACAAATATTGAAGTATGGTTAAAAAGCAATCCATTTGCTGCTCATTTTAGAACAAACTCTTTGACTTCGTCATTTACTTGACTAATTGGGTGTGTAGCCATTTTAAAGTTATAGTAGCACTCGAACTTACGCAATGTGAAACTAAAATCTAGAGAAAACAACAACATGTTTGCAATCAAATTTAATAAAACGACCTTGAGACGTGTGATTTATCATTAGATATCCATGTATATTAGCCAGATGGAATGAAACAGAATTCTAACCTAAGGTTCAACAATTAATGTGAGCATAGCCCATATTTCGGGTATTGATTTTATATATTTCTTTCTACCTCCCCTCTCATCAAAGGTTTTTTTTGTTTTAATTTTTCCCCAGTCTTTAGACTATTTACCAATCTACATATTACATATAAGAGTTCCTGACGCATGAGATAAATAACTCGTCAAACATGTAATAGTAATAAAGTAAACAATTAAATTCATGAAAAATGCTAGTGCATATGTAAATGATGCATCTAGTATGGTACTACCTCAGGGCCCAAATCAATGCTGACACCCAAAATTTCGAGCACATCAGCACTGCCACATGTAGAAGAACTAGAACGGTTTCCTTGCTGCAAGAGAGTCAGAAAGGTAATCTTAACTGATAATTTTTTTCATTCATTCAAGAAAGAAAGATTGAAATGAATAAGATATGTTTTCCAAACCTTTGCCCTACCTGCAGCAGTGGAAATGTTAGTGGTGTTAGCTCTATCACCTCCTATTCCCACAATGTCCACCACATCCGAAGCATTTAATCATGGCCCTTACCAGTCCCACTATCTATAGTCCATTTTTCAGTCCAAACTTTCTAAATTTATGACAATAACATATAATAATAGTAGTAATACGTCCTCAAAGATTTCACCTTTGACTCTCAAGAGGACAAGAAAGGCACTGATGAGGGCCTTGTTGGCCTCGTTTAGAAGGAGGTCGAGAGATGCCTCGGCCTCTTCCTCCGAAAGATCCACTCCATGGATTAGCGTCTTGATCAACTATACACAAATAACAATACAAATTCAATTCAATTTAATCCCATACAATTAAGTCAGAGGATTCTGTAATTCCACTCCACACATATTAGGGAAGTCATAATAGTGACAATATAGCAGCAATAATAGTATAATGATTAACCGTAAGAATCAGGATTATTTGCACTTTGATACTAAACAATTACACCATTTTAAACTTAAATACCCATATGTTTTTTCTCCACCACTTTGACACCACGAAGATTTTTCCCACTATTTCATACCCAAAAGTTTGCACCTCTTATAACGTTACTCCAAATTTTTTCTTGACATCTTGATACTCAAACTTTACACCCTTTCTAGCCTTGATAACCCAAACTTCTGTCTTTGACACCCCATAGTTGAAAAATGCATAAACTTCGGGACACCAAACTTAAAAATGTATAAACCTTAAGGTATTACATATGCAGAAAACAAACTTAAGAGTGGACTTCGAGCATCAAAGCGTCAATTAAAAATGTTGGGGGTATTAAAGTTACAAACTTTAGGGTACCAAACTACAATTAACCGAACTAAAATCAAAATTAGATTAGATAAAATAGAAGTACCTCTTTAAATGAGGAGGATTGAGCAAAAGAGAGATTGAAAATCGTGCTTGCTGCTGCTGCTAACAAAGACGACGACGATGGAGGCATCGCCGTCAACCTCGTCGTCATCGTCATCATCCTGCTGTCGCTGCTTCTGTAGCTATGTAGCTTGCTATTGTGCGTTGCCGCCGATTTCATTGGATGCAAAGTTAAAAAAGAAGCGACAACGTAGGCCGCCATAGCTTATAATTATAAAAACTTTTAGCAAATAATCAAGATTGAGGAGAAACTTATGGGTTGTTTGGTTGGTTTCCCAAAAACCAAGAATAGGAAATTAGAGCTTGGAAATCTCAAAAAGTGCATTTTTCACTGTTTCCATCCCTAAAACTTCCCATACATCTAATAAAATATTATTTTCATCCAACAACTCATCCACATCATCCAATAAAATATTATTTTCATCCACATCATCTCATATCATCCAATAAAAAAACCAAACAAAAGAAATATGTCACATCATCCAACTCATCTCATCTCATCTTTAAAAATCACTCACATCATCCAATAATATGGTGATAACTCATCTCATCTCATTAACATTTCATCTCCACCCATTTCCTCCAAAAAAACAAGGAAATTAATTTCCTTAAGTGTGAGTCACATCATCCAATAATATAATGACAACTCATCTCATCTCTTGTTTTTAAGAATAAACCAAACACAAGAGAAGAACCTATTATAGGAAATAGATTTCCTATTCTTTGATTTCATTCTTTTTTAGCCAATCAAACAACCTCAAAACAAGTTTTCTTAAAAACTCATCCACATCATCCAATAATATAGTGACAACTCATCTCATCTCATCTCCTATTCTTTGATTTCCTTCTTTTTTTAGCTAACCAAACAACCTCAAAACAATTTTTTAAGGAAATAGGTTTCTTATTCTTTGATTTCCTTCTTTTTTTGGGCAAACAAACAGCCCCTTTGTGGAGAGATTTGCAATTTGCAAGTAAATAAATAAACAAATAAACTAAAATATTTTAATGAATACGAAGAGGAGAGGGAGAAAGGAAACATACAAATAAATTAAGAAGAGAGTAGCAGTAAATCAAGAAAGGGGAAAAGATTCGAGAATGAGAAAAAGACTGGAGAAGGACAACACTACGACTCCGAGATTCAACATGACCCCACTTGCTATTTATTTATTTATTCTTCCTGATATATAAACACTATTCAGTGAATTTATTATTAGGATTTATTTTAATCTCTATAGTATAATTTATGGATACAGTGAGAAGGCGGTTTCTATTTCATTTCATTTTTCCCCTTCTCATATTTTATTTTTCTTAGTTGAATGTGTATTGCTGGTCACAAAAGGTAGATGGAAGGATAAACATGATCACAAATTCAGCAACAATGAAAGCTATAAATTATTTTTCTATATTAACTTTGACGAATTGCATGTACAGCACTAGGGTTGTGCATGGTTCGGTCCAAACTAAAAAACCGAACGAACCAACCGAAAATTAACAGTTAGAGTCGTATTTATTTATAAGTCGGTTCAGGTTGGGTTGAAATTTTTTCAACCTGACGCTAGCTTAACATTAAGTTTTTAACAAGTAACCCATACCCACAAGAATTCCAATACTCCACAACTAGATCTAAATCATAAATTCGAACAACTAGATCAATTTTAAGAATCAACATAATATACATAACAAATTGTTAGATATAGTAGAAATGAAACAAATATGAAAACTCTATCTAAAATCTTTTGATATAGTATAAGTATAGTCAGTTAACATCATCCAAAATCAACCTCAAGATTATTCATTTAACTAAATACCTCAAGAATCCCAAGAATCGAAAAAGATCTTAATCATAAATTCAAACAAGTAGATCAACTTTAGTAAACACATAAAATTGTCAGCTATCTATCATATGACGTTCATCCTTTTTGAATACCTAGATCATCAGCACAAAATAAATACCTAGCTAACCTAAGTAAATAAATATAATATATTGTTCATCCTTCTATTATCTTTTAACTCAAGAAGAAATTGCATCAATGACCTCCATAATCAAATTACTACATCAATACACCTTCAGCAGATCTAAATCAGGTCAAGAAGATATTTCGACTAAAAAAATCAACAAATTTGTAAAAATAAATAAAATCATCACTTAATACCTTAAATCTAACAATATTCTATCAGATCTACAACAAATACAACGAAATATCCTAGATCTGTTTAAACTAAGCAACACAAATCCTAAATTACCTCAAAGTTATTTTCCTCTTTCAACAAAATTTCAGCACAGAAGTTCAAATAGATCGAGAATAGACAAAAAATTAAAGATATAATAGAGAGATTAGGGTTCACACCCGAAATTGGAAGGAGAATCGCAAGGAGATGGATTCGTTCTCTCCGAGGGTTTGGAGATGAACCGTTGAGACTACTTGGTACTAGCGGGCGAAGTGGGCTAGCGGGTGGCGACAGCTGCAAGGTGAGGTTGGACTTTGCGATTACGGGTTATGGGTTGGGTAATGGGTTTGAGTTTCAGATTGAAAAGCTAGCGGTCGGTTTAGGCGGTTCGGTTTAAATTTTTTTTAACCCGGCCCGAACCGACTTATAAATAAAACCAACTCGAACCGTTAATTTTTGATAGGTTCAGTCGGTTTTTTCAGTTTCGACTGAACCATGCACAACCCTAGTGCTGTATATTGCAATTCGTCAAAGTTAATATAGAAAAATCATTTACAGCTTTCCTTATTGCTGAATTTGTTATCATATTTATCCTTTCATCTGCCTTTTTTGACTGGTGGTACACATTCAACTAAGAGAAGTAAAATATGAGAAGAGAGAAAAATAAAATGAAACAGAAACTGCCTTCCTACTGTATCCATAAATTATACTTTCGGGATTAAAATAAATCCCAATAATAAATTCACTGAATAGAGTTTAATATTAGGAATGATAAATAAATAAATAGTAAGTAGGGTCACGCTGAAGCCCGGAGTCGTAGTGCAGTCCTCCACTCTCTTTCTCATTCTCGAATCTTTTCACTCTTTCACGATTTACTGCTACTCTCTTCTTAATTTATTTGTATGTTTCCTTTCTCTCTAGTCTTCGTATTCATTAAAATATTTTAATTTGTTTGTTTATTCATTTACTTGCAAATTACAAATCTCTCCTCCATCAAGTTCCTCCTCCTCAATCTTGAATATTTGCTGAAAGTTCTCATAATTATAAGCTATGGCGGCCTACGTTGTCGCTTCTTTAACTTCTCATCCAATGAAATCAGCGGCGGCACACATTAGCAAGCTAGACAGCTACAGAAGCAGTGGTAGCAAGATGATGATGATGATGACGAGGTTGACGACGATGCCTCCATTGTCGTCGTCGTCTTTGTCAGCAGCAGCAGCAGGATATAATACCAGCACGATTTCCAATCTCTCCTTTACTCAATCCTCCTAATTTAAAGAGGTTCTTCTATTTTATCTGATCTAATTTTTGATTTTAGTTCGATTAATTATAGTTAGGTACCCTAAAGTTTATACATTTTTAACTTTGGTGCTCCAAAGTTTACGTATTTTTCAACTATGGGGTGTAGTGTCAAAGACAGAAGGTTGGGTTATTAAGGCTAGAAGGGGTGTAAAGTGTATATCAAGATGTCGAGAAAAAAATTGGAATATTAACGTTATAAGAGGTGCAAACTTTTGGGTATGAAATGGTGGAAAAATCTTCGTGGTGTCAAAGTGGTGGAGAAAAAACATATGGGTATTTAATTTTAAAATGGTGTAATTTTTTAGTATCAAAGTGCAAATAATCCTGTTTCTTACAGTTATCATTATACTATTATTGCTGCTATATTGTCACTATTATGACTTTCCCAATTTGTGTGGAGTGGAATTACAGAATCCCCTGACTTAATTGTATGAGATTAAATTGAATTGAATTTATTGTTATTTGTGTATAGTTGATCGATATGCTAATACATGGAATGAACCTCTCGGAGGAAGAGGCCGAGGCATCCCTCGACCTCCTTCTGAACGAGGCCCTCATCGGTGCCTTTCTTGTCATCTTGAGAGTCAAAGGTGAAACCTTTGAGGACGTATTACTACTATTATTATATGTTATTGTCATAAATTTAGAAAGTTTGGACTGAAAAATGGACTATAAATAGTGGGAATGGTGAGGGCCATGATCAAATGCTGCAGGAAATTTGAAGGTCTGTCTGATGTGGTGGACATTGTGGGAACAGGAGGTGATGGAGCTAACACCGTTAACATTTCCATTGCTGCAACAATACTCAGTGCTGCAGCTGGGGCAAAAGTTACAAAAGTTTAGAAAACATATCTTAATCATTTCAATCTTTTTTTCTTGAATGAATGAAGAAAATTATAAGATAAGACTACCATTCTGACTCTTTTGCAGCAAGGAAACCGTTCGAGTTCTTCTGCATGTGGCAGTACTGATATGCTTGAAACTTTGGGTGTCAGCATTGATTTGGGCCCTGAGGTAGTACCATACTAGATGCATCATTTACATATGCACTAGCATTTTTCATGAATATAATTGTTTACTTTATTACTGTTACATGATTGACGAGTTATTTATCTCATGCTTCAGGAACTCCTATATGTAATATGAAGACTGGTAAATAGTCTAAAGACTGGGGAAAAAATTAAAACAAAAAAAACCTTTGATGAGAGGGGAGGTAGAAAGAAATATATAAAATCAATACCCGAAATATGGGCTATGTTCACATTAATTGTTGAACCTTAGGTTAGAATTCTGTTTCATTCCATTTGGCTAATATACATGGATATCTAATGATAAATCACACGTCTCAAGGTCGTTTTATTAAATTTGATTGCAGACATGCTGTTGTTTTCTCTAGATTTTAGTTTCACATTACCTAAGTTCAAGTGCTACTATAACTTTAAAATGGCTACACATCCAATTAGTCAAGTAAATGACAAATTCAAAGAGTTTGTTTTAAAATGAGCAGCAAATGAATTGCTTTTTAACCATACTTCAATATTTGTTGTTTCATGAAATTCAAGTCTTTTTTCTGCGAATAGGATTCCTCCAAAATTCAGCTTGTTTGATGCACTCAAACATCACACACGTACCCATCTGTGCTTACATATATGGTAACTGTACTGTTAAAACATAGAAATATGTGCATGTTGGGTCTTGTGACAAAAGTAAACTGCTTCGTATTTTACTTTACTAAAATGAGGTTCTTTTCTAAATGAATATTAGCTTGATACATATATTTATGAGTCAAATATACAATATATTTAGAAGAAATATGCATATGTAGCTATCCGGACAGGTTTTTTTATTATACACTTAAGTCTATAGTAGTGCCTCAGAGTATGATACTTGTATCTGTGTCTACAAGTCATGGAATTTTTCCTACTTTTCTGTGTAA